CATCACAACACTTCATTTAAAAAATTATAAAAGTTCTAATAAGACATTTCTTATAAAATACCAAAATGAAGAATCCTATATTATAAACATAAATTGGCCTGGCTGATTCTCCACTCTGCCCTCTCTGTAATTCTGTGCCAATGACAGGGAAATATCTTTTTGGTTGCTCCTCCCTTCTTCATGTTCATTCTCAAAATAACTATGGAGTTCTCCTACCTACTAGCGTAACTTCTGTTTTGTACTGAACTGCAAGATGCCTTACGTCCGAGAGGAAGTTGGAAGGCATAATTTAAAAAAATACATTATAAACACTGATACTTTAAATCAGTGATGTAGCTAGGTATCCAAAGACCCTGGTGCAAAAAAAAAAGAAAAATGAGGGCCCTATTTTGGTTGGGTTTCATCCAGTAAAAAAGTAAAAACATATATGAATATTTTGAATACACAAAGCTACTTTTTAACATCAGTTTTTTGTTGTCTACAGAATATAGTAAAACACACACAAAGCTACATACTACATACATCTATGTGTATCAGTTTCCTTGTGTGAGCTTTAGTGATTGCCCAGGTTTGATTTAACACCACAACACTCGTAGAAGGCTGGCTGACTAAGAAACTTGACAATTTTGGACACACACAATTTCTGTTTACTATATACTCTTTCTTGAGGTTGTTTTTTTTTCAAACACATCACTGAGTTTCTTTTTTTATCCATAATTTTAGTTTTCTAATTATGTAAGTGCTTGAGTACTTAAGGACATTAAAAGAGAGAAGAAACATAGTGCTACGCTACAAAATGTTGTTGGTCAATACCTGACTATTTTTTCGGGGGGATCAAACTCTCCCACCAGAGGGTTTAGAGCTATAGAATAGTCCACCGACATGGACAGGAAATAATACAAAAAATATGAGTGAACAAGAAAATACAATACAATGTTATTATAATTATTTTTAAAAAACAACTCTGCAAAAAAGCAGCGGATGGGGGTGGGCAAAATTATACCAGTCTATTGCAGATATGAGTAGATTGTGAAATACAGAAACAGAAAACTAACTTCTTATGATTCATATTGTGTCATTACAAATAGAACTAGGAAGGAATTGATTCCTATATAAGTTTTTTTAAGATGCAATAATAAGTATGGTAAGATTTTTCATGGAGTTTATTTTCAAGTAAAAGTTTATAGAAAAATGAAAAAAATTGAAAATAATATAAAATTTTCCATAAGTTTAGTTCGCAACAGTGTACAAACAATGGAAAGAATTTAGAGGAATTCTTTCCAGGACTAAAGTTGTGTTGAAATCTTTTACATTATATTTTGTTGTGGGAGAAATTATTGCAAGTTCGGCTTGCTTTGTGATCAGGGTCCGAGGGGCCCCTAAGCTTGAGGGCCCAGTGCATGTCATCACCTAGCCCACTGGTAGCAACGCCACTACTTTAAATAAGAAATTGTATTTCTACCCTACAGTTTTAAATACAAATATTTTAAATGCATACCAACCTGCTAAAAACCAGGCACTTGATTTCAAAACATTAAAATACAAAAATATTCTAATTTGATTACAGAAAATGAGCTTTTTCCATACTAAAAGTGATTCAATCCACAATTTTGAAAGAAAAGCTTTATAAAATTTACATAACTAACTTTCATCAAATCTGTGCATTCACTAATTCATTCTCACAATCAACTGATTCATTGTATAACTAACCCTTTTTCTACTGACAGTACTTATAAGTACCACTCACTTTAAAATTACACAGAATAACCATTTTTAAGAATACTCTGACGATACTTAGCAGGGATATTCTTTTAAATCCACTTTTCCAAGATATATGGTAGCAAGGGTTCTATGATGAGTATTTTAGCAGTGAAGGCGAATAGTTTTATAACAAAAATCGTGTTTTCAGCTGACGGCGTTTTCAGCAGATTGCAAAGATTGTCATTTTTGTTCCGAAAAAATAGTTAATATCAAAAGGTGTCTTATTTTTTTTGTATATTAATGAAGACCTTAGAATACGATTTGGCTATTTATTTTAAGTAAACAGTGTGTAAAATCAATTTTGCAGTTGAATATCTTTAATTAATTAATTCGCTCTAACTAATTAAATTTCCCTAAGTTGAGTATTTTGTTCATGTATATCCCTTAATTTCCAATGTAGCGATTCAAAAAAAATCACATGAAAAAAACTGCAGTAAATCATAATGCGGTAGAAAAGAGTTAAGGGGGAAAGATTTTGAGCAGACTTTGATTTTAATTTATGTTGCACTGTGAAGCTACATGAGAGCTTTTTGATGACAGACCTCGTAATTTCAGACCAAGAACAAGTGACAACGGTGACACCTGAGCTTTCCCACTACACCAATGGGAGGACAGGCCCTCCCCAGATTTAACATACAACAGTCTTGCTCGATGGCAGGTTTTGAAGAAACTTAGAAGCAATGTGAAGACTAATGACAATGGATCACTTCACTTTAAACTAGAGTCAAGTAAAAAGGGCAAAATCCCCTTTCAAACTTTCATGCACACATCACTATGAGAACTTTTAAGTTTCAACATTTCACCTGTATCAGCCCTTCTACAAGATAGGTCTTTAGTAGTACCAAGTCACACATAAACTACAACAAAGCTGGCACAAGCTAGTGATCATAACCAATCAGTCGAAAGAATCTGTTAGCATGTGCTATGATGTATTTTGATATTTTTTAATGTTTCAAAGAAAGTTAGAATTTAAAATGACAGATGTGTATAACAAAATTACTCATACAAATAGTAAAAGTATACTAATATAAAGTAACAAGTTAACTACTTCACATTTTACATAAAAATTTTTATGCTTATGTTTATTAGTATCTTGTATGAATCTGCACCATCAATCATACTGCTCCAAAATTTTGTTGAGCTTGCCTGATGATTCAAAGTCGTAGTTAACATATAATTAACATAAAATTTTCAAATTTATTGTTGGTGAATTTTTTTCTAGAACCACTTTTTCCATCAATTTTGCCATTTTTTTTATCAGCTGGCAGCATCAATTGACTTAAGGATGAGTTTGTGTGATGTTGCACAAAATAGCACTCATCCAGATGCATGAAATTTTACATACTGAAACTATAGGTGATGATGGTACTTTCAACCTAATGCTGAAATATTTTTTGCTTAACAAGTATCAATAAAAACAAATGTATTTTTGAATTGTCTTTTGAATTTTGTTGTTTCTTTTACCTTTACTGTACAACTTTTTTCAGATGAGACCAGGAAATATCAGGTAATTCAGCAATATTTATTAGACTTTGCTATTTCATTTACTAAATCATCCTTTTTTTGGAATTTAATTAGTAGTTTACTAAAAATTATTCAAAATATTGCCTAAAAAATCAATCCCATTAAAAAATATTTTATTCTTCCATCTCAATTGTTTTAGTTTTCAATTTACCCATGTGAAAAACAGGTAAACCAGCTAATGTAAGCAGTGCCGATTTATCCATTGGGTTCTTGGGGGTGGGCCCGGATAAGCTTAATTTAACCAGATTTTCTGGTTATAAATTTTGATCCTCCAGTGCAATGGGGGCTCATAGATCTTCTGTGCATGGGTCCCAAAATGAGCTTAAATTGGCACTGAATGTATAAAGATAAAGATTTCTAATCAAATTTGGTATTATTATAAGTCATCAAATTATAAAAGCAATACAATTAAATTTACTTTATTTTTAAAAGAAGAATGATAATTGCAAAAATATTACAATAAAATGAAAAACAATAATAACCTGTCAGTACAGCACATAATTAAAAATGGAATTGTAAGCAACTCAGTAATAAAAATAAGAAACCATTGCACAATATGCATAAAGCAATTATGAAAAATATATCAATTTTGAATTAAAATTCATCAGAAGAAATAAGTAAAAATATTTCATAAAAGAAAAAAATTTGTTCAATACATAAATTTTGAATTTTTTTTTTTTTTTTTTTGACATTTGAATGAAGACGAAAAAGAAAATTTACATTCATACAGGTACATGATTTTAAGAGATAGAATATTAGGACACACTAGAATAGTTCATCACAAAATAAGGTCATGATTTGGGGGGGAGGGGGAACAGACAAAATGTGGAGGATTGTAGAATACATATATAGCTTCAAAAACAAAAATAATTTTAAAATGTAAGTAAAATATGCAATTGCTCAAGTGTTTTTTTCTAAACTAATTCGAATTGTGAAGGGGAGATAGACTTGAACTTAATCTTCTTTTAAGGAATACTTTCATATTCAGAAAATTTTGAATTTTTGAAATTATAAGACTGAAATGTGTGTTAGTATATTATTAATCTCTGATACAGTTTCAAAAAAACTTTCTATCAAATTTTGATGTCAAAAAAGAAAATTAGTTTTATAAACCATTTTCAATTAAAATGACGTGTATCATTCCTATTTTTTTAAAAAAAAATTGCTGAAACACTCTTTGAAAAACAATGACACAGACATCAAAACTTGAATTTTCAAAAAAAGAATTGTTAAATGAATCTTAGCTCAAGGGAAAAGGCAACATTTCTAGCATTTTCTGAAGTGACCTTCTACATACAAATATGATTTTGTATCACAAATTTATTAGAAGCAGCATTTTTATTATTTATCAAATCAAAAAAGTCAACTCTTCAAAACATTACAGAAGCTTTATACCCTACATCATAAAGTGTTCACTTAAAATTTAGTCTCTTTACCTAAAAGTCAGTTTACTAGTATGAATATTCATCTTTAACAAAAAAGTAATATAAAAAAAAATTTTAATGAATTCCTACTTAGGTCAAAGAAAAAATTTTATTTTAGTTACTTTTTATTAAATAATTACAATTAATATAAATATGTGCATACATATGACAGAATCACAATATTAAGTGGCAAAATAGAAAGAAATTTTTCTTTTTACATATGGTGTTGGACTATTTATTTTTGTTTGTTACTATTTATTCATTCATAAATCACATTCTCAGAAATTAGGCCATCCCAGGTAGGATTTGAACCCACGACATTTGGATTAAAAGTCCAACGCACAATCCATGGAGCTACAGGGATACAGCGAGCGATTTTCCTTTTTATATTTGGTGTTGGACTATTATTTTTATTTGTTACTATTTATTCATTAATTAAACATAATTAATGAATTAATATTTGAAAAAACTGTATTAACAAGTCAAGTGTCATCCACTGCATGTTTAAAAAAAATGTATTTGAACTTAAATGGATGAATAAAAAGCATTTTATTAACAATTGAAAATCTGAACAAGATATATATATATATAAATTAATATATATGTAGGGAGAATGTGAACTAATAGTACAAATTGAATAAATGGTAAAATTATATTTGTATGCATACTAAAGAATAAATTTCAAATAATTTATCAGGAAATATTTCAATTTGTATACATTGACTTAAAAAAACTTCATATACTCAAGGTTGAAAAACTATTTTCTGGAATAACAGCAGTAGCAAGTGAAAAAGTATGAGACATTGGAACATGAATTACCCTTCTACTAATAGTTAATATTAATTAACTTTGTTAAGACTGGGTTTCTATAAGAGAAGTATTTACCTTTATGCATTTTTTTAATTGTTTTCATGTAACAAGTTAAAACTCTCTCTTCATTCAATTTTCAAACTTCCTTTATATAAAATTCAGATACTACTCTTTGTTGAAGTTTAAATTTGTTGAATAGTCGCACCTTTGTAGGCTAAGGCATCAATTTTAGAGACCTAACATTAGAATTTCTTTTAAATATGCTGAAAGAAACTATGTATTAAGATTATTTTATGAAGAATATATTTTACTCTGCATAAGGATGTCTGCATAAGAATACTACACAATATCATCTTTGAAAAACAGCCTAACATAGACCTCAAATACTTAAATTATTAACTTCATATCATTATACAAGCTTTAATAATTTAATTCATTCATAATGCCTAAAGTTCTGTGCTATATCTTATTTTTTTACATTCTAAGTGGCCTCCACAATTTTGTTTCCTCTTGCAAAAATGAAGTTCCAACAAAAAGAACAATTTCATGTTTCACACATAATTTCTTTATGCTTTAAATAAATTACATAGGCTTAAATATATAATTTTACTACTTTTATGGGAAAAGAAATTTTATAATTATGTGATCTTCTAAACATATGAATTCGTTACTTTATTAAATAACTCAATGAGGTAAAAAAAACAAAATAAAACTAAATTTGAAGTGGGACTCATTCTAAGTCTAAAAAGACTGGATTTATTTTTAAAGATTGACAATATCCGATAAAAAAAGAAGGGGCAAAGAGGTGTTAAAATGAAAAAGAATGGAATTTAAAAAAATATCTCCCTTTATTTGTACAGTAGAACCTGTTTTTGTGCGGTCCTTTTTTATGTGATTTTATTTTTGTGTGACCGCATAAAAAAAATTTCAGCAGTATTTCGATGAATTTGCTTGTTATATGTAAGAATTAATGAAATTTTTGAATATTTTTTTTTGTGCCTTTATTTTTATGTGGTTTTTATCAACCGCATAAAAACAGGTTCAACTGTACATTATTTCATAAATACTGAGGGAATATGTGCTGTTTAAAAAAAACTGAAAAGATTTTTTTTCTTTGAAATTGTGATATTCACATTTAAAAGTTTACATCTAAAAAGTATATATTCTTGATACTATGACATTTAGAAAAAAAAAATCTTTTTAATGCTAATTACATAATAATACAAGTATTAACCCATTCAGGACATGATCACAATATACATGATCACTTCAGGGAACACAGTATCATATGCAAGAATGTATTTCCTTTCTGAGTATAGAAATCACACCGGTGTGATCTAAATTTGGAACTTATGGAATTTAGAATGATTATATATAATAAATTTTGGCATATTTTGTTACAGTAATGATTTTATATGAATTTTTAAATGGAGTTAGGCTTAACAGGAAAAATCGCCTGGTCCTGAATGGGTTAATAATCTTCCTCAGATGAACAATGCCTCATATAGCATACTGTAATTATTCAAATTATTTCAAAATAATTAATATAACTGAAAAAGAATGCTAGAAAAATTTTAAAAAGAAACTTTTTTAGTATTTAATATTCTGAAAGATGTTATTTTAACCTGTTGAAATATTTAGTTAAAACAGACAGAATATTGTGTTTCAAATCACAAACTAAACATATTTGATGGAATTTTTCCATAAAACTGTTACAGTACCTCAGCAGTTTTGAAAATAAAAGTAGAAAATATTGTATTACAGAATTCCAACTGTAAATTTTAAAATTCAGCATTTCAAAATTTATAAAATGTAATGAGTCAATTATACAACAGCCATAAATAGGCAAAAAAATATATATATATTTTCAGCAGATAATACTCTAATGCAAAATTTATAAATTACTAAGCCAATAGCTTTATGTAAATAACAAAATGTTGGTTCATCTCATTAAATTTCTTTCCCTTTAAAAAAATTTATATAACTGCTTATATAAAATTTGTGAATTATTTTAAAGAATTTAATATAAAAATATTCTGATAATATCCCTGTTATCAGAATATTGTCCTATTCATTTTAAAGAACAAATAATATAAGTTTCAAGAATTAAAAGCAACCAACTGATTTATATAGTAACAAATTACTTTGGAAAAAACAAGCTAACAATTGATTTTTAAAATATCTGCCTCCACTAGTATATATTAACCATACATTTAGAGAACACAAATCTGTAACAATCCCTTAAAATATCAAAGATTTAAACAATTTTGACAAAAAAAAACTTGAATTATTTAAATACTTAACACTGTCTTTGCCTTCAGCCATACAAGTTGAAAACTTAGATCCCAGTTTCAGGTAGATCACGCTTTAATATTGAGATACAATTTATAATATTACTAATATATTTATATTTATTCATCATATAGTGTTCTAAAAATTTTTCACACATGTCAATAACTTAAGTCAAAAATCAATAACAAGTGGAATTAAAAATCATTTTAGCATTATGAAGTATGAGATGAAATATGGAATACATTTTATACCTCCTATAATGGGTGTATTAATGTAAAAAAGATATATAATAAAATATGCTTCTCTCAACAGAATATATACGACAGAATATCATATTAATTTGGAGTCGCTTTCTATCAGAAAAAATAAGCCGAATTTAGGTTCTATTCCTTAATGTTTCATAAAAAGAACAATCAAAAGAGATATTATTCACTAATAAGCCCATAAATATTCGTAGAAATCACATCAGTTATTGGTATGCACTACGAAATTTCAAAACTGTTACAATTTAGGGATATATGGTGTTTTGATTTTATACTCTAAAAGGTAATTCAGAGAATGAAGTTTACTGACTTAAATTTCTTAATCCTAGCATTGACAGTACATGCTGAAACATATGAAAATACAAAAGACTGTGATTAATTTTTATACCATTCAGTTAAAAGTTACTTACGATTCGAAGAAAGTTTAAGTTGATGACTGTCCACACAATACTTTTTCAAGAGTTGAGAATTATAATGTTGATGTCATCTCATTCAATAACAAATTGATTGTTTTAAGAGATACACACAACACTCAGACGACTCTACTCCTCATCCATAACAAACTAGGAGCTCAGGTGATGAAAATCATAAACAACACTTTTCGGAGAACCGGAAGCTCGGTAATTAAAACACTCGAAAGAAAAAAAATAATGGCAAACATATCATTTCGATTAAGATGAATTTGTTTTTAGCTAATGCACTATCTCAAAGAATTATTGTGAAAATTAACTGATGAAAAACAAATAAATAATGTACATTTCCAAATGAGTTTTGAATCCCCTTGAGGTCTTTTCAATCTCTTGCTTCTCACTATGCCATTTGAGCGGCAAATTATGCGCATGCGCTAATTGAGTAAGCCAACGTGTCATGCAGTAATGATTTACAGCATGGGTTCTCAACCTTTTCACCCACAGGATCACATACATGTGACAGCTATTTCACGTGGGTCGCAACATGAAGATTAATTGGGGAGGGTGCTAAAAGACCAAATGTGAAAAAATATATGAAAATATTAAAACTTTTGTTTTTGTTTTTATTTTAATACTATGTAACCTCTCTATCAAACACACACACAAAAAATCGATTTTATGTATATTTTACCAAATTATGAGGTATTTCAACTTCCTTTCATCTGTGATCAAGCTCCTTGTTTATAATCTAATGCCATACAAATAAAGCTGACATGTACTCAGAGGTGGATTAAGCGGCTGGCGGACCTAGCAACCGTCAGGGGTCCCCAGTGCTAGTAAGGGCCCCAAACTTGATGGATTTCAGTTATAAATTCAACATGCAACAAAAAGTTCTTGAACCTGTATTGCAACACCAAAGATTTCGACGGATTTGAGTCGTGTAGCAGCCCTAGAAAACTTAAACATGCATTTTTTTGCACAAATTTTATTTCGAACAAAAAATCGCAATTCAAGTCTCCAGCAAGTTCATTTTTAATTCACAGTCGTGTTAGCCCTTTATCTACCGCATTATGATTTACTGCATTTTTTTTTTTTATTACTACTTTGAAAATTAAGGGATTAAAGGGAAATTAAGTAAAATACTCAACTTTGAGAAATTTAATCTGTTAGAGATAATTAATTAAATTGGTACTTTAAGTCAACAAAGATCTAAAATATTTTCATAATAAGAAAAGACCAAATGGCTTTTTAAATGCAGTTTTAGCTCTTAAAAATGCTAAATATAATCAGAGAAAACTAATATTTTACAGCACAAAATATTTATTTTTAAGGATTATTTACTTTTTTACACACAAAAGCAGCTTTTACACGTAAATTTAATTTGATGACGAAAAATTTTTCTTTTAAAATTAAATTAACGAATTATTACAGTTATTGCCTTTTTAAATTTCCTGTTTTTTAGGCAGCTTTGGGCCCAGGAAAAAATTTTAAAAATTTTCTCCCACAGAACAAAATTGCCCTGATAGAGTTGTTCGTCTCTAAAAACAAAAAAAACAATAATAAGCCACACGGTCGGAAAAAAAACTAAG